TTTTATTTTAATATATTTTATCGATTTTTTACAGAGAGGAAGGGAGAGGGATAGAGAGTTAGAAACATCGGTGAGAGAGAAACATCTATCAGCTGCCTCCTGCACACTCCCTACTGGGGATGTGCCCGCAACCAAGGTACATGCCCTTGACCGGAATCGAACCTGGGACCCTTGAGTCTGCAGGCTGACACTCTATCCACTGAGCCAAACTGGTTAGGGCCTGACTGGTTCTTTTTCATGTCTCTCACCTTCTCACTAAGATCCTTGAAAGTCTCAAGATCCTTGAGTAACCTTATCACCATGGTTTTAAACTCTGTATCCAGTAGTTTGCTTGCTTCCATTTCTTTCATTTGTGATATGTTTATTTGTCTTTGCATTTTCGCTGCTTCCCTGTGTTTGTTTCTAGGTATTGGGTAGAGCTGCTCTGTCTCCTGGAGTTGGAAGAGTGGCCTTGTGTAGTAGGTGTCCTGGAGGGCCCAGTGGCTCAGCCTCCCCCGTCACCTGAGCTGGGCACTCTAGTGCACCCTGTGTGCACAGCCTTGTAGTTGGGCGTCTTCTGATTGGGTGCCAGACCAGCCTGTTCCGCGCCTCCGCCCCTCCTACAGGTCTCAACCTACTTTCTTTATGTCTCTAGTTGTAGGACTTCCATTCACCCAGCTTTCAGGCGGTTCTGGATGATGCTTGTTCTGTATTTTAGTTGTAATTTTGATGTGGTTCTGGGAGGCGGTGAGTACAAGTATTTACCTACGCTGCCATCTTGGTTCAACAAACTTTTAAAAGATACTCTTGGGCCCTAACCGGTTTGGTTCAGTGGATAGAGCGTCAGCCTGCGGACTGAAGGGTCCCAGGTTCGATTCCGGTCAAGGGCATGTACCTGGGTTGTGGGCACATCCCCAGTAGCGGGTGTGCAGGAGATGTTTCTCTCTCATTGATGTTTCTAACTCTCTATCCCTCTCCCTTCCTCTCTGTAAAAAATCAATAAAATAGATTAAAAAAAAGATATTCTTGGACCAATTGGGTAATGGGAACACTGACTATATATTAGATGACATTAAGGGATTATTAATTTTTTTAAAAATATATTTTATTGATTTTTTACAGAGAGGAAGGGAGAGAGATAGTTAGAAACATCGATGAGAGAGAAACATCGATCAGCTGCCTCCTGCACACCTCCCACTGGGGATGTGCCTGCAACCAAGGTACATGCCCTTGACCGGAATCGAACCCGGGACCTTTCAGTCCGCAGGCCAACGCTCTATCCACTGAGCCAAACCGGTTTCGGCGGGATTATTAATTTTTTAAAAATAATTTTTTTATTGGTTTCAGAGAGGGAGAGGGGGGCAGAGATGGAAACATCAATAAGAGAGAATCATTGATCGGTTGCCTCCTGTGTGCCTCACACGAGGGATCAAGCCCGCAACCCGAGCATATGCCCTGACCGGGAATCAAACCGCAAACTCCTGGTTCATAGGTCAACGCTCAACCACTGAGCCTCGCTCGCTGGGCTAAGGGATTATTCATTTTTAAAGTGTGATAATGACATGAACAGAGTGTTAATTTCCTAGAGACACAAACAGACCTATTTACAGATGAGATGATATAATGACTGGGATTTGCTTTAAAACAGTCCAGAAGGAAGAGAGATGTGGGGAGATAAAGAGAAACCAAATTGGCCATATTTGTTGAAGTGGGGTACACGGGCATTTTTTATGCTATTCTCTGTCTTCTTTTGGGTGAAAATGTCCATGATCAGCCCGGCCGGTGTGGCTCACTGGCTGAGTGCTGACCCATGCACCAGGAGGTCTCGGTTCGATTCCCGGTCAGGGCACATGCCCAGGTTGTGGGCTTGATCCCCAGTAGGGGGCATGCAGGAGACAGCCATAGATGTTTCTCTCTCTCTCTCCCTCTCCTTTCCTCTCTCTGAAATTAATAAAAACATATTAAAATAAAAAAACAGAAAAGATAAAACATAAGAAAAGAAAATGTCCATGATCAAAAAAAGAATAACAACAAAAAAAGCGCCCCTCCATGACAGCTGGTTTTTCCTCCCAGCATCCTCCCTGCGGGACACACCCGGAACCGTGTTTGCTGTGTCTCCCCTGGAGCAGGGGCGCCAGGGACTGGGCTGTCTCTCTTGTTCACGGCTGTATGTTCATGGCTGTATCCCCAGCACCTGGAGCAGCGCATGCATCTCACCCATCTCATAGCTGTGGGCTGGGATCTGCGTGGCCTCTCGAGCCCGAGCTCCGAGCCACAGTCTGCATACAGCTGTCTCCACCAGTTCTGACCTCCGAGGGCCAGGGGCGAGGCTCTCAGAGGCAAACGGAGACGTGGGTGCCATGGTAGGCAAGAGGACTCGCCCCACGTCAGGGAAAGGAAGTGAGGGGACATGACAGGGTCTGGCTAGGAGAAGCACACCCCCACCCCGATGCTCTGCCCCCTAGAGTGGCCCAAGCTCGTGTGGACATCACTGTACCAGCCACTGCTTGTGTAGCCTCCAAACACCGAGCCCAGCCTGAGCCAGGGTCACAGGTCCCTGGGTGAGGCCGGGGTCAGCAGGCAGGGCCCACCCAGCGGCCCAGGAGCCAACCTCTGGAGAAAAGGGGCAGGTGAGGAGCAGGTCTGCCTCCACGCTCAGAGCCCTCCCTGCTTGTGCCGCCTTGGGGAGGTCAGCTGGACATTCCCTTCCCAACAGACCCGGGGGGGGGGGGGAGACACAGAGGGTCTACCACCCCATCAGACACTCTCCTATCCCAGCCCCCCGGCCCCCTGGTGTGTAGGGCTTTGCAGTTTACAAAGGGCCCAGAATGCCATCTCATTTGAGCTACACAGTAGCCCAGTGATGGGCCAGACCGGTGATGCAAAAGGGGTGCTGCACAGGGCCCAGCCGGTCCCCCTCCCTAACCACACCCTCACACACTAGCTTCTCTTCAAGGAGGGGTGCTGCTTCTTCCCTTGTCTCCGACCGGCTTTGCCACAGGCTATCACTGGCATCCAAAAAGATCTTCTTGATCTAGGAGGGCAACTGGGAGGGGCAGCAGGTGGCCAGCTTCAGAGCGGAAGGGAGTATCAGGGACTAGGAGCATGGGTGTCAGGACCCAGGGGCAGAGGCACCCTCCTCCCCACCCCTTCAACCCAAGTCGTGGTTGGTTCTCATCACCCAGCCCTGGGAGGTATTTGTGAGGCTTTGGTGGTGTTCCAGGATGGAGGCTCCAGTCCTGGTGGGGATCCTGAGCCATCAGTCACCTACGTTCAGAAACTTCCCTCTGAATTCCAGGTGGAGTCATGCCCTTGGCCCCATGCTCTCTACCTCTTTCTCCCTGGAAGCTCAGAGGCGCCCAGAGGCAGCTCCCAGCCACACATGCTCATATAGTCCCTACGCTCCTGGCCTCCTGGCCGAGGCTGGGCAGACCTCTGCCAGCTGGGAAGTGGGGCTACCGTCACCGTGGCAGCCGCCCTATGCAGAGAACTGCACTCCAGGGACCAGCTTACGTTGAAAAAATGTCACATACAAACACAAGCCAAGAGGGCACTTGACAAACATTTATTGAGCACCTACTATGCGCCAGGCCCTATGCAGGGCTCTAGGAAAACGAAGTCACTGCAAACTAGTCCCTGCCCGGAAGGAGCTCACAGTCTAGTGGGTCAAACCATGAATCATGTTAACAGCGGTGAAGGTGCATTGAGCTTCACGATTTTACAACGAGCTTGTATACACGTTTTCTCAATTGTGAACGTCCAGCAACACAGCCACGTTGTTGAAAAGCACGTCGGCATAAATGTAAACAGTCCCATGACTGAAAGGATGGAGAGGAATCACCTGCAGTAACTCACATTCCTGTTTCAGAGCCAGGTTTTCAGCATCATTCCTTCCTGCTAGGGAGGATACGAGTTTTGCCAACCTGCACAAATGGTGGCGGACACGGGAATCCCATGGCCCGCCTGGCACAGCACACAGTGGGTCCGGACTCTCTGCCCGCTGACGTCTCTCCACCACGCAGCACTAGTCTAACCTCCCCTGGACCAGGCCCCATACATCCTTGGGCTCCAAGTGAGCCAGATGCGGAGAAAGGACACGTCCCGTGAGTCCATCACAGTGAGATTCCTCACATCTGGTCTGGATCAAGAGTGACAGCAGCTCAGGCGACAGCGGCCTCAGGCCCAGATCCTTCTACATCAGATCCTCCCTGATTTAGGGATTGGCTTTCTGGATGGTCTCAAACCTGGCTGAGTCAGTACCATACGGGAACCGCTGCCCTGGGCCCTGAACACTCAGTATTTATCAGGAGCAGACAGGGGACTCCCCTCTATCCCACCTGCCCCTGGACTCCAAACGGGGCAGTGCTGTGTGGGGTTTGGGGGAGGCTCCCGGGCCCTTCTTCAGAGCGCCATACCAACGGGAAAAACCAGTCCTCACCGGCACTGGCCTGTGATGGTAGTTTCGGAGGGGAAGGAATCTGGTGAAGAGACCCAAGGTGGGCCACCTCCTGGTCTGGGGAACGGGAAACAGGACAAAGGCTCGGGTTCAATTAAACTAAAGTGTTCAGCTGAGCACACAGAGCTGAAATGCTGGAGGCAGGGCTGCGTTTAGGACCCGCGGGCCCACCTTCCCATCGTGGGGCGGGGGAGGGCTCATCTCTCCCGCTGCAGGCTGGCTTGGGGCTGGCCACCACCACTTCCCTTTAAAAAGGCCAGGTTAAGCCTCACCTCCTAGGGTGAGGGCCCCTGGGCCGGCCTCTCTCGGACAGTGGCCTGGGAGTCGGCAAGCACATTTCCAGGGCAGGGGAGGGGAAGGGGGAGGTGCTTCTCTGACTGATGCCAAGGCAGCCCCAGGCCTCTGGGCCAACAAGCCCTGCCCTGGTCCTGTCCCTACCTCTGGGGTGGGGCCTTCGCCTCCTGCCAGGACAACCTTTCAGCCCCCCTGCCCCTCAAGGTCATCCCAGGAAGCCAGCTATCCTCCTAGCTAGCCCCTCCCCCCAATGATGGCCCAGACGGAACTCTCTTAATAAAAAAAAATAATTTATTGTCAACAAGGAGATTTATATACAACTGGAAAACAGGAGAAAAGGAGTGGGAGTGAATGAAGCCCCAGGTGGGCTGCTGGGCCTCCTGCAGGGGCGGAGCGGGAAGAGGTAATGGAGGCCTCCTGGCTTAGGGGCCTGAACAGGGGGAGGAGGGGCGTCCTCCGAGGTAGTGGGACTCAGCTCAAACCCCGTGGTGACCTCCTCCTCCTGGTGTAAGGCACTGCGCCAAAGGAGAATGGTGAGCGGCGAGAGGGTGGGCGGCGGCGGGGACAGAGGTCTGGGTCAGCAAAAGGATCGGGTGGGGTTCTCCACAGGCCCAGTGCCCTACCGCTACCAGCCTCAGCCACGGCCCCCTCCCCGCCTCCGTCCGGCCTTGGCACTCTTCATCAGGTGGCGGAGCGGAAGCCGAGAAGCCGAAAGGGGACATGGCCTCCTCCACCCCGTCCTCGGGAAAGCAGGAACCTATACACCACTCCCTGCCTCTCGCCGCCCCCCCAGTGGTGCTGATTCCAACAAAACCGCGGCGGTCTGGGGTGTCACCTGCTCCCACACCCTTGGTGCCCTGGGGATGCTTGGACCAATCTTGTAGGAGGCTGACTGCCGGGGACTCCTCCATCCACCCGGATCACCTGGAGATCCAGTGTCCCGCGAAGGCCCGAAGGGGGACCTGGGCAGGAATGGGAGCAGAGAGCAGGGTCAGGGCCCTCCAGACACCCCACTATGAGGATGTTCCTGAAGGTCTCCGCACACACACCCCGTTTCCAGAGCCCAGTGCCCGGTGTGAGGAAGCCCAATGAGCAAATCCTGCTTGTGCTCAGAAGCTGGTCTGTCTCCTGATAAACTAGAAGCTCCTTGAGGACAGGCCGAATCCCACTCATTCGCTCCTTTATCAACAATGACCTATTGGGTACCACGCTCGGCTCTGCCCCACCGTTCCAGTTGCTAGGGGAACGGCAGCGCGTGGAGCAGAGCAAAGTGGCTTTCTTGGAATTTACGTCCCAGTGATGAGAGCCAATCAATGAGAATAAACAAGAGATGCAATAGGACATATGCAGACAGATGCAAAGGAAAACATCCGCCAGGGAAGGGGATGGGGAGGGTCTCAGGATGCTGACCTGTGAGCAAAGATGGACAGGAAGCGAGGGGTCAGCCCGGCAGAGCTGGGGGAGCAGCACCCGGGTGGGAGGAAGACAGTGCAGGTGCCGCTGCGGGAACAGCAAGGCCCGTGCCTGCAGTGCGGGTGCAGGGACAGGAGAGATCCCGGGTGAGGATCACATCACCACGAGGACTCGCGCTTTATCTGGAGAGTGAGGGACAGGGCAAGACGTGGGTGTTTGACAGGGACACTGGCTGCTCTGAGACCAGGCCACAGCGGGCAGAGGTAAGCAGGCAGAGACTCGCTGGAAGGCTGTCCCAGGAACCAGGCAAGGGGGAGCTTGGACAGGGGAGCTGCCGTGGAGGTGGTGACAGGAAGGTGAATTCTGAACACACCTGGGGGTGGAGCTAACAGATTTGTCAATGGTTTGATGAGGGTTTGAGACAAGAGGATGACTGAGGGTTTGACCCAAGCAAACTGAAGAATGAGGGGGCCAGTTTCCTCAGAGAGAAAGACTGAGGAAGACTAGATTGACTGGGGCGAGGGGAAGAGACTGGGTTCCGCTCCGATGTGCCAAGTTTGAGAGAACGTTTAGCCCAAGGAGAGATGTCACATGGGCAATTCGAAGAGAGATTGGGATAGAGGGGAGAGGAGAGGTCTGAGGGTCAAGGCAGGAGTTGTGAGCACAAGAATGGTATTTAAAGCTGCGATTCTGGGCAGGGTCACCCAGGGAGTGAGTATATACCCTGACCCACAGTTGGGGCACTTATTCATTCTCTTACCAAATGCCTAGTAAGCGGCACCTATTCTGTGCTGGGCACTGGGGATGCCACAGTAAGTGAAACAGGCCAGCATCCTGACCTGAGGAGCTTAATTCCAGAAAGCGGATGAAAGTTTACGGACAAATGGGACAGTGGCTAGGGAGGGAGGAGGGGTAAGAAGGGAGAAATAATAGCTTTGTGTAGGCTGCTGGCCAAAACCCAGAAGAAAACTGATGGATAACAGAGAAATGTCCGGCGGGGAGAGATGGCCTTGGCAATGGGTCTGAAGGGCTAGCCTTTGCAGGAGTGACAGTTACGGGGGGAGCAAAGGCAGAGGATGTGGCCTGAGGGAGGGAGGGAGGGAGCCCTGTGGTGGGCTCAGTGACATGCACAGAGGTGCACAGAGGCTGCCGCTTCCCAGGCGAGGGGCCTTACCTCCCAAAGCTGGCGTCCTCCTCAGTGAAACGGGAGCCGGGCCCTCAGGGCCCCCTTCAGCCTGGGCCCCCTCCCACCTTCATCCTACCAGGCCCTTGGAGAGCCCCCGAGTCTTTCCTGACTGCTTCACACTCGTATCCATCTGCTCAGCTGACCTGACCAGAGAACTTTTCCAACTTCTAAAACCTTGATCTGTAAACTTTTAAAAGTGGTAGTGTCTTTATTCAAATAAAATCTTCAGCAAACTTTAATACGTGAAACAACTCAAAGCAGAGACGTTTGGTTGAAGCCTCAGTTTCTGAGAAATCCAGCCAAGCTTTGAGGTCCTGGAAGAGCCTGCAGCGCTGGCGGGACCTTCACTCTGCACAGGACCAGCATGGGGTGGAGCCTTCGCTGCCTCCAACCTGTCCCTCCGACCACAGCTTCTGGGGGACAAAGGCCGCCTCCCGCATGTCCTATTCCACGGGGCTTCGCTTGGCGCTGGGCTGCAGGACACTTGCTGTGGTGCTGTTTAGTGTCTTCTGTGGCTTCCGGCCGAGTCCCAACTCCACAGATCCTGCCACTGCGGGGAACACCTGCAGCCCCTCCACCCCTCATGTCACTCACTCAGTTTGTTGAGCCTCAAGTCTTCCCCACTCACCCCAAAGGGACCAGGGCTCAGGGACTCCCTGCTCAGCTACTCACTACTCCAGGGAGGTGGAGTTGGGCACAGGGAACCCAGGGCTCAAAATGAAGGCTGTTTTGAGAATGAAAGCAGACCCACTGAACAGAGGAAGAGGCAGCCATTGAGAGCCGTGACCCAAGACAACAGGAGACTCAGACACGTTCAAGTCCAAGCAGTCTCGGGGAGACAGGACTGGAATGTGACTCAAGCTGAAACTCGAGCCAGTTAAAACCGGATCTACGTGAAGGGACGCCCGCCGTGAGATGGGGAGGAAGCATGCACACGACCTGCTGCACACGCAGAGCTCTGGGAAGGTCTGAGGACACAGAGCCAACTATTACGAATGGTCACCGCGGCGAGTGATGTGGCTGGAGAAGGGGCACGCTTGCTCTCCTCTCGAGTGCCATCTTCCTCGGGCTCTAACTCCAAACGCACATTCAGACAGGCTGGGCCAGGCACTCCCTGCGCCACTCACTCACTCACTCACTCCTTCAAAACCATTTCCTGAGCCCGAGACGCTGCGAGCAGTGCCTGGCCTGGCGAAACCAAGAGGAAGCAGGCTCAGCCTCCGCCACTGCACTGTGCTCTGCTCTCATCGGAGTCCTGCCTCCGCTGGTGCCATGACTATGGTATAGGCCAGTGGTCGGCAAACCACGGCTCGCGAGCCACAAGCAGCTCTTTGGCCCCTTGAGTGTGGCTCTTCCACAAAATACCACGTGCGGGCTCAGTAGTACAGTGCGATTGAAACTTCGTGGCCTATGCACAGAAGTCGGTATTTTATGGAAGAGCCACACTCAAGGGGCCAAAGAGCCGCATGTGGCTCGCGAGCCTCGGTTTGCCGACCACTGGTATAGGCAGAACACCATGACTGTGGTACAGGCAGAACACAGGTCCCCAGGACCTGTGAAGGTAAGTTCCACGGCAGAGGAGAAGTAAGGCTGCAGACTTAGGCTCTACGTGGCTGGAACTGATGGTGCCAGTCAGCTGATTTTAAACTAGAGATTCATCTGGACGATCTGGTGGACTCAGTGTAGTCACAAGGGTCCTTAAGTGGGGAAGGAGGTGGCAGAAGAGTCAGGCCAAAGATGGCGTTCCGAGAAAGGGTCTGCTGGCCACCGCGGGCCAGGAAGATGGAAGAGGAGGCGAAGCAGGGAATGCGGGCGGCCCTAGAACCCTGAAAAGGCAAGATGCAGGCTCCCCGAGCCTCCAGAAGGAACGCGGTCCTGCCGACACCGGGATATTTTGGCCCAGTGAGACCTCTGACCTCCAGAACAGAGAAGTAACACATTGTGTTGCTGTACGCCACTGAGTTTGTGGTAACTTGTTACAGCAGCCATAGGAAACTAACACAGGCATCGTGGGGAAGAAGGAACCATCTCTGAGAATCTCTAGAAAAGGCACTTTTGTAGGGACCAAGTGAACTGCATATAGAAGTTTCTCAAGATCAGTAGGATGTGCTACAAAAACATGCGCTCACGGCTGTCATTCGGCAACTCACTGAGCTGCTCTCCCCAGAGGTGTCTGCTCAGCGCTCACCACTGGTCTAGTCTGTTAACAGGCCCAGGGGGCACCTCTCAGGCTCCAGCTGCAGTCAACTTTGGGAGTCACCTTGGGGGAGGACTGGCCTAGTCCAACCTAACGACCAATTCCAGGACACACCAAGGGCCTGTGAGGAAAGCTCGGCCCAGAGACAGCCCCCGTCCTTCAATCCGCCTGCCCCAGCCCCCACCTCCCAGGGACCCAAGCGTCAAACATCAAGGAGCAGCCTCCAGGAGGCAGAGCCCACGCAGCCTGCCCGCCCCCGGTCTCCCTTAGGAGCTCACCTGGAGAGGGGCTCTCCAGCGGGGGGAGGCCTCCTTCGGCCGCTCGCCCCTCCCTGGGTGCGCCCTTGCCGTCCAAGGCCCTTAGGTGGGGGTGGGAAAAGAGCTGCAGGACGAAGCCGGGAGGGAAGCTGCCATCTGTGAAGTGTCGGACCTCGGGGGGCGCTGTGAAGGCCTCCGTGGGCGAGTCAGGCGACGAGGGGTCTGCAAGGGAGGAGGGTGGGACTGTGAGTCCAGGCGGGGGGCAGCCTTCCCCCACTGAGGCCAGAACCTGGAGGCCTGAGCACCACTGAGGCGACGTGCAGGTGCCCTTGGACTGGGCCCTGCCACCATCACTGGCTCGGTTTGGAGCGCTGCAGCCAGAGCCCCCATGTGCCTCCACCTGGGCTCCCCCTTCACCTGAGTCAGAGTCCGGGTCTAGGTCCGGGTCCGGGTCCAGGTTTTTGGTCATGGATCTGCTTCTCTTCTTTCTGACCGGCTCTTCCTCAGGGGGCTCCTTCCATCTCTGACTACGAGGCTTCTTATTTACTGGCTCTATGGCAGGGGCAACTGCAAAAAAGGGAATATGCCTGAATCCCGCTGCTGCAGCTCTCTGCCCGTAGCCGCTTTACCCCCAGAACACAGGCCTGTGCCTCGCTTCCCCCCAGCTCAGCCTCACTGGCTCCCCACGACTGACCTGGAAGCTCGAGGGGGCGGAGTCCCCTGGGCCGGGTCCTTCTCGGGAGGACTGTGCTGTCCTCAGAGTCCAGAAGAACGACGATCTCTGCTGGCATCCTGGCAGGGTCTGGGGCAGAGTCAGGGTCTGCACTGACATCCTGGGCCGAGTCTGAAGGGGGCAAATGCCCCGTGAGCGCCACACGCGTTCCCACAGGTCTGCTTTGCTCCCACCCCCACCCCAGGCCCAACTACCTGAGCTGGGTGGGGATGGCTGCTCAGCTCTGACATCTTGCAAAAGGGCCACCCCCTCGCTCCAGGCCTCCAGGATGTTGCTCTTCTCAGAAGGGCTCAGGTCCAGGGTGTGAGGATGCTGCTCCAGGATGTGCGCGCGCGCCGTGTCCGCGGAGGGGAACTGGATCTCGGCCCCACACACCATGCACAGCGCCCGCCCGCTGCCTTCCGGGCTGTTCCCCACCAGGAACTCCTGCTCCCAAGTCATCTGCAGCTTGGGCTCCTCACAGCTATTGCCGCCTGCCTCCAGAAGGCTGGGCCTGGGCGGCGGGGTCTTCTCCTGCTGAGCCACTATGGAAGGAGAGGAGGGGGCGGTGTTAGCAGCAAAGGTGCCCATGGCCACTATTAGGCAATACTGCACTGATGGCAATCGTTAGGACACTAGTCCCCAAACTTGGTGGTGTACGGGAGGCGCATCCCCGCTGGTGTGGCTTTAGGTTGAGCACTGACCTATGGACCAGGAGATCACAGTTCAATTCCTGGTCAGGGCACATAACCAGGTTGCAGGCTCAATCCCTAGTGGGGGGCGCCCAGGAGGCAGCCGATCAATGATTCTCTCTCATCATTGATGTTTCTATCTCTCTCTCCCTCTTCCTTCCTCTGTGAAATCAATAAAAAATTTTAAACAAAATAAATCCTTTAGTTTTCATCCTAAAAAAGAAAAAAAAAAAGAATAAATGGAGCTGGAGCTGTCATCCCAGAGGAACTACCTTGCTCGTCTTATGCCTCAAACCTCTGGGATGTTAAAAGGGCAAAATAGCCTTTGGACTGGGCCTAAAGCACTGTTTGCAAGGATAACAAGAAAGCAGATACGATGACTACCAGACTGATGACCACTGAACTGAAAGTTAACAACATTCTTTAGAATTAGCCTCACTATTTAGGTTATCTGCACCATCAGAAATGCCTTCGGTATACTGACGTAACGTCCCCTTCCCTTTCTCATAAATATCCCTTGCCTTTGTCTCCTATTGGAACACTAAAGGGATGGGCAAAAGTTAGGTAATAATTAATAATAATAATAATAACAACAATACAAGAATGAACTGTTTGTTTTAAACAAACAAATGAAGTCTTCAGTCTTGGCACATCCACCCAGAATCCCCAGTCAGTCTGGCAAATCCCTACATTCCCTTCATGGACCTGCTCAAATGCTCACGCCTGGAAGCTTCTTGACCTCCCACCCCTGGCAGCTTATTACATCCATGTCTGACATCATGTCACACTTTCTTGAGGTCAAAGATGGTAAATTTCATCATCTTATTGTCCCCACCTAGGAGAGATGCTCAATGAGCCTTCGGTCAGTGAATGAGCTACGTGCCTGCTTCTCCACCTGCTGAGGCCCCCTCAGAAGGCCACCCATCCCATCAAAGCCGGCCTCTCACCGTGCTCCTGAGCCTCTGCAGCTGTAACCTCTCCCCATGGGGCTGCCTGGCGCCTGCCCTTTGTGCACAGGACCATTCGCTGCCAGGGCAGGCGCTCTCGGTAGCTCGGCAAAGGCAGGCAGCTCAGGGCTGTGCGGAGTGCCTAAGACCCCTCATGGGTACAGCTCGTTCCCACCCGAGGACGGGACGAAATACAAATATGGGGGGGCCCAGCACCTGGGACTGTACGGAAGAGGTGGCATTTGGAATGGATAGGACTCAGAAGATCCAGGTCCAAAGTGGGGTTGTATCTAACTCCCATGTGACCATGGGTAGCAACCTGGAATCAGGCTTTCTTTCCTCCTACTCGTCCACACAGCTCTCATCAAGGTCACCAGTGCTACACCCAGCAGTCAGCTCTTAACCCTCATCTTCTGACTGACCACTCAGCTTCCAGGTACCACCTTCCTGTGGTTCTTCTACTTCACTGGGGCTCTTTTCCAGCCCCTATGCCAGTTCCTCATTTCATCTCCCTCCCTCATCCTCTCTTTTCAGGAACCTGCATGGCTCCCTCACCTCCTCCAGGTCGTGGCTAAAGAACCACATTCCCACCATGGCCTTCTCTGCCACTGCAGACAGCGGCCATCCATGCCACCTGCGCACTCCATTCCCGTCACCGTTTCGTTTCCTCCACAGCACACATCACCACCTGGCACAGTGTGTGCTGTGTATGTTCCTATGTACACTGTAGGCCCCATGACGGCATGGACTTTTGATCCTTCCCGCCTGTATCAACAGCATCAATGTGCCCGGCAGAGAGTGGCGCTCAGAAATGTCTGAGGATGACTCCATCTCCGACCTGGAATCGCTGGAGCACGCATGACTTCTTAGACAAGCGCGCTTCTGTCTACCCTCTTCCTCTCACGGTCTGGTCCCGCTGCCTGCCTGCTGACAATTCCCGTGTTTATACCTCCAGCCAGACTCTCCCATGAAATCTAGACTCGCGTGTCTAACTTCCTACCTGACCTCGCCACTGGAATGGCACAGGCACCTCCACCTCGCCATGTTCCAACTCCAACTCCCACCTCCCAAGCCTGCAGAGTAGGCTTCCCACCTCAGGAAGTGGGGAGCCCATCCTTCTCGGTGATCAGGCCCCAAACCTTAAATTCCTCCTCTTTCTCTCCCACCGGGACCTTTCCAAGAAGCTTCTGGCTTCAGGACCTGTGTACGTGCAAGTCCCTCAGCCTAAAAGGCTTTCCTCCCATCTCTACGGGGTTCACTCCCACCCTTCTGTTGGGTCTGTGTCAAATTGCACCTCCTTAGAGAAACGACCACTCCGTGTTCCAAATGAAACACGGACCCCACTCTTTTTCGTCCTTACTCTGCTCTCGTGTCCTCGGAACCACGGATCGCCACCTGACATACTATGCACTGATTTATGTTTGCCCTCCTTTGTCCTTAGTATGTGCGTGTGTATGTTCCAGAGGGGCAGTTTCCTCCTTGCTTATGGCCATTGGCATCTCCAGCCTAAAAGAGTGCCTGGCACATAGTAGGTGTCCCATAATCGGCTTCTCTGGGCTTCTAGTTCCTCATCCCTAACAGCCTGGCTCGGAGCGCTCCGTAAACACCAGGACAAGTTGGGAAGTCACCTCTCTGTTGGGCTGAGAGCTCTGGGGATGGGGCCTTTATCCCCGAATCGTCTCCGAACCCTCCTGATTCCAAACGGGAGAGGCAGCCATTCCGTCCCGGAGGTAAAGCGAATGCCCGCCCCCCCCACCTGCGGGTACTTCCCCCCAAAACGAGGTGTCCGGAGTGAAGGCTATTTGCATTTCCATGCCTAGTGCTGCTCCCATTAAGGTGGCCCTTTGTTTCCTCGTCCTGAGGCCGGAAGACTTTGGGGAAAGGGAGGAAAGTTCCCAGACCGGAGCCCCCTCCCGCGGCCACTCCCCTCCTAGGGGGGCCGAGGGTCCCCCCCTCGCCAGGCAAGGACTTCTGTGCAACCGGGTGCAGCAAGCACCCCACTCACCCCTGAAGCTGTGGAATGTGACACCTGTGGCTCGCGCCAGTGGAGGGCCCAGGTGTGGAGGCGGGGTCCGGGGAGCCTCAGGGTCCTCGCGAGCCTCGGGGCCGGAGGTATAACGCCGGCCTTCATCCTTGGCAGCGCTCGGACCACCAGC